AGATTACAGAAATATTATTCAAACAGGACACTTGTGAACCAATCAGGTTTGTACAACATAGCAGAATCTTGAATCTATTAATCAACAACCAGTCATTATACAGACAAGTGATATAGTCACAAAACTTGGCAATCAACTTTGTGACCTTAAAACTATAGCCAACTATTTTGGCCATAATAAGTATAATAAGACAGTCAAGGTAAATGACTTCTAGGTGGTCATACAATAACAAGATAACAAGGGTGGTCTTATGCCCTGTGTCAAGGCGACCCAAGGCACCAAGCGGGTTACAGAAGCAAAACAAGCTGGTTAGTAAAAATGTATACTGTCTGGAATTATCACATTCCATGATTCATGGCAAGGGCAATTTTCCAAGGCCCAAGGTTGCCCCCCTTTTCCTTTTGGTGTGGAGCAAAGTTGCTGCTGAAATGGCTCTGAACAGAATGGAGTGACTTAGGGAAGTTTGCTGAGCCAGTTCAATTTCCATCCACATGCAGGAGGCAGAGAAAATGAACTGAGAATAGGGCAAGGCTATAAACTCTAAGTCCATCCCTAGTGATGTACTTCCTCCAGCAAGGCTACATGACCTAAACCATCCACAACCTCCCTAAACTGTGCCACCAGCTGGGGACCAAGTCTTCAAATACCTAAGCCTGTGGGGGGGGGCTGCATTTTTTGTTCAAATCACCACATCATTTATTTCCTTTGCCTGGTGTGTTTGGACAGCATTCTGTTGTACCCTGATCCTGCGACCCCCCCAGTGACCACCAAGGAGTCCGGAGAGTATGCAAAAGCAAAGAGCCTTTATTCAGGCTTAAGCTCTGGCCCTCAGATTTCACCCAGGCGGAGGATCCGTACTGAGAACCCCATCTAGGGTGGGGTAGGCTTTTATAGGGAAGTTTCACAGAAGCCTGTGCACACCAAGCATCCTTTAAAATAATTGGGTGATCCTATGCCCTGGTAGGGACTGTCTTTAGGGCACTGGAATGTGCTGTTATCTGTGGGGCCAGAAGTTTCTGTTTTTACCTTATAAGGCTGCTATATGGCCAGGCTTGCTTGATCTATAGCTTTCCAGGATGGGGGTGGTAGCTGAAGATTACAACATGCCTGGGCATGCCCGGGCTTGCCTGAAACAGCTAGTCAGAACGGAGTTAGTGCCGCCTTAAGCCAAGCAAATTACAGAAGCAGAAAGAAGCGGTTAGACAGTTGGCGTCTCTCACATTCAATAGAAGTGCTTGAAGAAAGGGAGAGGGAGGAAGGAAAGCAAGGAAAAGGGAGTGAGCATGAAGGAGGCGTTGTGGATTTCTTCCAAGGGTCCTGGAGGCAGAAAAGGAAGGGAAAGCCCAGCCGAGCAGTGTCTGGTGGAATGCGTTAGCTCACCTTGGATGTAGCAGTTCTGAGGCCAGCAGGGGCCAGGAAGAAGGTGGGCCTCAGCAGCTGAGGTGGAGGAAGCTGATGGCAGAGGAGGGAAGGGAAGGAAGTCACTGGAGACTAGAGGGGGCTGAGGGAGCATCATCCAGGATGAGTGATAGAACTGGCTTGAGAGAAGAATGCAGGGTTGGGGGACTGATTCTTCACTCCTGGCTCCTGGCAGAGGGGAGAGACCTAAGATAATTATGGTGGACCTTCTTCCGGGGGCAGAGGGAAGGAGAGAGGGCAGGTAGTTGGTACAGAGGCAATGGGCAGCTTTTCAGGGAGGGAGCTCAGTCCATCTGGTGCTCAGCCCTGAGTTTAGAACAGTCCTTACACTGGAAATGTCCCTGAAAAGATCAGCATTTGAATGGCTTTGCTCATTTGGTCCTTCTGATCCATGTACTCTGAAAGCAGCTTAGATCAGACCACAGCAGCCCTGGCTGAAAGGGTATAGACAAGGGGTACTTGCTTCCTCTGGGGCTAAATGTGGGCTAATGGGGCACACAGGGCAGTAAACTCTGCCATAAGCCTGACAGTGACCCTAAGTCAGGCTTTTCCCAGTCCTGGGTCCATTGAGCCCACTTTCCGTGAGCTCTGCGACCTGCAAGTGACCCAGTTACCTCCCAGCACTCCACTCATCTGGCCCTGCCAAGTTCCATGTCTCCATTGTGTTACTAGGGCCCACAAAGAGTCCCTGAGAAAGGCTGGCTATGGTACCCTATTGCCACAGACAAGGGACCAAGACTTACCCATTGTGGGCAGCCATTCCCTGGGGTTGGGCCCTGGACTATGAGAGTAGAGAAAGATAGTGGAACCATGTATTCAATTTCTCTGTTCCTCTGTGGATGTGATATGACCAGCTGTCTCAAGCTCCTACCTCTAACTTCCCCACAGTGATGGTCTGTAACCTGGAAGTGTGTGCCTTCCTCCCCTAAGTTGTATCTTTGTCAGGATATTTTATCACAGCAATGGAAATGACCATCCCTCAAATGGTACCATTCCAGAGCTCCTCAACTAGCCCCAGCAGGACCAAGGCTAGCTAGGCTCCTGCCTGACAGCCCAGGGATCCCAACTTGAGAGCTTAGCTCATTTCCCACTTGGGGGCGTATTTGTCACACCCTCCCTACCCCATGGGGTACCCAGGTTTCTGCCAGAATCTAGGACCTTCCTCAGTGAGACCTGACTAGGGCTTGGTGGAGGCCACAGCACCCCTCACCCCACAGGGCTCATCTGTGCAGGGTGAAGGGAGGGCAGTGGGGGCCTGGTGAGGGGCCCACGGCTGTGCTCCAGAAGCTTTTGGGAATGTGAGTCAGGGAGTAGGCAAGGTAGGGGTTGAGGCCAGAGGGGAAGCACATGGGGTGGGGAGCTCAGCAGGCCTGGGCAGAACTCTGAGGAGGTCTCTGCCCTCATGGCCTCCCCAGCCGCCTGCAGGTGTTGAGACAGCAGGGGGGCTATGGCAGGGGCATGACCCTTACAGCAATGGTGGCTGGCCCTGTCACAGCTAATGACCCTGATGGCCCAGGCTGAGAAGAAGGTGGGGGTACACAGAGGACAAGAGGCAGAAGACGCCTCTGTGTGTATGTGTGTGTGTGTGTGTGTCTGTGCAAGTGTATGTATCTGTGTATCTGCATGTGTGTCTGTGTCTGTGGGTGTTTGTATGTGTCTATGCAAGTTTATGTATCTGTGTTTCTATGCATATGTGTTTGTACCAGCATATCTGTGTATCTGTATGTATGTCTATGTGTGTGTGTGTATTTGTGTGTGTCTGTGCTAGTGTACGTATCTGTATATCTGTATGTGTGTGTGTCTCTGTGTGTGTTTATGTCTGTGTGAATGTGTATATCTTGTAACTGTATGTGTGTATCTGTGTTTCTCTTTGTGTTTGTATGTATCTGTGCTGGTACAAGTATCTGTATTTCTATATGTGCATTTCTCTGTGTGTCTGTGTGTGTTGTTTGTGTCTGTGTGAATATGTGTACCTGTGTATCTGTATGTGTGATGTGTGTGTCAGTACCTTTCTTTGTGTTGTTATGTGTCTGTGTCAGTGTGTCTCTGTATATTTGTATGTGTGAGTGTGTATCTTCCTGTGTGTGTATATCTGCATGTATATGTGTGCACATGCATGGGAGCAACTTAGGGACAACACCCTTACCCCTCTTTCCTTCCCCAGCCTACAGGACCGTGTGCAGTGTCAATGGGCCTCTGGTGGTACTGGACCAGGTCAAGGTAAGACTCTCTGTCTCTTTTCTGGCCTGAGACCATATCCTGGACACTCCTTTCCCTTCTAGGGTTTCTGCTGAACTGCCCATCCAGGGAGGGGTCTGTCCTGTTCTTTTTAATTCTACCACCCACTCCTCAATTCTCCATCTCTACCTGTGTTCCCAGACATCCAACTTCCTCTTCCTGCCTGCCAGTGGGAAGCTGTAAAAAACACAAACACCCCTGTGTGCTGGGCCTTTAAGAGCCTGTTCTACCCAGATGAACAGACCTGGGGCCTTTGTGCCCCATGCCTTCGCCAGCAGAGTGGTGTGCCCAGCTTTCTCAAAGGTTGGTTCCCTCTGCCCCTTGCAACTACAGTAAGGAACCAGACCCACTCTCAGTCAGGGCAGCATCCAAGTTCACAGGACCCTGCTGTGTGGCCCATTCATGTGGGGGATGCTGGGGGGAAGAGCCTACCCAATCTCCAGTCAGGCTTCTAGAGTTTTGATTTTATTCACCTTAAACAATTTCATTATTTAAATTGGCAAGGAGCATGATTTACTTTTTAGATCCAAATTGCTGTAATAATAATTTTTGTATGTGTATGCGTGTATTGCCTGTGTGTAGGTAAGTGCACCCGTGTCATGCAATGCCCACAGAGGAGAGAAGAGGCTGTCAGATCCCCTGGAGCTGGAGTTACAGACAGTTGTTAGCTGCCATGTTGGGTGCTGGGATTCAAACCCGGGTCTTCTGCAAGTACAACCAGTGTTCTTAACCACTGAGCCATCTCTGCAGCCCCTGTAATAATAATTTTTTAAAAAACAAAATAGTTCATTCTTTTCTCGTGTGACAAGTCATTAGATCTCTTTAATTGTTGTGTTTGTACTTGTTCTTGGGGAACAGTGTATACCAGTCAAATCAGAGCAGGCAGCACTTTAGTCTCCTAAAATATTATTATTTCTATGTGTTGGGGACATTTAAGCCTTTTTCCTTTAGCTGTTTGTTGTTAATTTTGGTTTGAAATATTTTTCTTAAAAAAAATTTTTTTTTTTTACATTTAGTGTGTGTGTGTGTTGTGTGTGTGTGTGTGTGTGTGTGTGTGTGTAGGTCAATGCACAACTTGCAGGAGTTGGGTCTCTCCTTTCGCTATGTGGATCCCCGGGAATCAAACTCAGGTTGCAAGCTTGGCAATGAGCACCTTTACCCACTGAGCCATCTCGTCAGCTTCTTGTCTCCCTCCTGCTTTCCTTCCTTCCTTCTTTTCTTCCTTCCTTCCTTCTTTCCTTCCTTCCTTCCTTCCTTCTTTCCTTTCTTTTTTCCTTTCTTTCATTCTTTCTTAGCTAGGGTCTCACTCTGTAGCCCAGGCAGCCCTGGAATTTAGCAGTCCTCTTGCCTCAACCTCCCAAGTGCTAGATTACATGTATGAGCCCTTATGCCCAGCTTCCTCTAGCTGTTTTGAAATGCATACTTAAGGCTTCTTAGGGGCTTAAGCTCAGTGGTAGACTGTTTGTCTAACATGCAGGAAGACCTAGGTTCAATCTCCAATACAAAAAAGAGGAAAAAATCATTTATTTATATCCAGGTATGGTAGTAGAGTTCAAGGCCAGCCTGGGCAACATGAGATACCTCTTGTGTTTAACACCAGTTCCATCCCAATCTTCATGTGGGGGGATGTGGGAGTGTGCATGTGTGTGCACACACATGTATGTGGAGGTGTCTAACATGCAGGAAGACCTAGGTTCAATCTACAATACAAAAAAGAGGAAAAAATCATTTATTTATATCCAGGTATGGTAGTAGAGTTCAAGGCCAGCCTGGGCAACATGAGATACCTCTTGTGTTTAACACCAGTTCCATCCCAATCTTCGTGTGGGGGGATGTGGGAGTGTGCATGTGTGTGCACACACATGTATGTGGAGGCCAGAAGTTAACATTGGGTGTTGTTCATTCACCTTGTTTTTTTTAAAAAATATTTTATTATTTTTGTTTTATGTGTATGAGTCTTTTGTCTGCATGTATGTAAGTATACCCGTGTTGTGCAAAGCCCACAGAGGCCAGAAGAGTGTGTCAGATCCCCAAGAACTAGAGTTATGGATGGTTGTTAGCCACCATATCAGTGCTGGGACCCAAACCCAGGGGTCCTCTGGAAGAACAGCAAGTGTTCTTAACCCCTGAGCCATCTCTTCAGCCCCATTCACCCTGTTTTTTAATACAGTCTCTCAGTGGGACCTAGGGCTCACTCATTTGGCTAGGCTGGCAAGCCAGTGAGCTCCAGGACTCCACCCATGTCTGCCTTCCCAGCTCTGCGATGACAAGAGCAACTCACCACACCAAGCTTTTCATATAAGTTCTGGGGATTGAACTCAGGTCCACAGCAAGCACTTTATTGACTGAGCCATCTCCCAAACCCTCAATTTATTTGTATTTATTTATTTATTTATTTATTTATTTATTTATTTATTCTCCAGCAGCCCAAACTGGAGATGGGCTCCAGTTTCAAATTCAAATTTACTGTGTAACCAAGAATGACCCTGAACTCCTGATTCTCCTACTTACACCTCCCAAATGGGTACGTACCACCACACCCAAAGAGCGAACCTAGGGCTTCATGTGTGCTAAATAAGCACTCTAGGGAGTCAGCTCCTGACCCTTTTTTGAGACACGGTTTGCCATGTAGTCCAGCCTTGCCTTGCATGATTCTCCCAAGTAACAGGATCCCAGGTGTGTGCTGCCATGCCTGGCCCATCTCAGTGTTTCCTACTAGCTGTTGTCATCCTATGTCAACAGGGAACTTGTAAAAAATATAAATTCTTGGGCTCTATCTCAGACTGACAGAACCAGATGCTCTGGGGCCCAGAAGCCTGTTCTCACATTCCCTCTAGGTGCCCTGACCTACCTGAAGTCTGAGAAGCATTTTTCTAGGACTGTGAATCCCAGTTCCTTGTCTATCATATGATAGGGCTACTAGGTTGGTGTGAGCGTGAGGTCAGATAGCATTAGGTTACCATTCCCTGAGAACAGCAGCAGTTGCTCTGTCTGGACCTTGAAATTGCTAAGAAGTTGATTAATCCATGGCACCAGCATCACCCTGCCATGCTCTGTGCTTCACCTCCATCTTCACAGGCTCCTCAGCAGCAGGGTTAGAGAGGACCTGGGACTGGACTGGGAAAGCAAAGCTAGATTCCCAGACCTGTGGCTCTGCTGGGGTGGATGCATTAGTAACTAGTGGAGCACAATGGCCAGAGATGACACCCAGAGAGTGCTGAACTTGCAGAGGAAGGAAAGGAACAGGTAGTCTACAGTCTCACAGACTCCAGGAGAAAAAGAAGGCACCCCACGCACCCCTTTCCAACTGTCTACCCTGCTTTCCCCCTTCCTCAGGTCATGGGCACCATTCTGCCTCAACAGCACCACCTTCTGCCCATACTGACCCATGCAGGCAATTGCCCTTCTTATTTCCAGTCAAACAGAAGAACAAGAGGCCTGGAGATAGAACTGAGGTAGAGTGCTTGACTAACATGTACAAGACCTCGGCTTAGATTCCCAGCATGGAGGAACAAAAGAGGGAAGAAAAACATGAAAAAGAACCTTAGATAAGAAAGGAAGACGATGAAAAGACAGGTCATGAAATTTGCAAATTATGTGTCTGATAAAGACCTCGTATCACCATTGTATAGAGCATTATCTCCAGAGGCTGGAGAGATGGCTCAGTGGTTAAGAAACCTGGGTTTGATTCCCAGCACCCACATGGTGGCTAACAACCGTCTGCAACTCCAGTTCCATGGGATCCACTGCCCTCTTCTGACCTCCTCTGGCATTACACCAGGCTCCAGACTTGGTATAACAGGCCTGGGGAGGTGAGGGGGCCACACTTAGAGAAACACTGATCTAGACCCTTCCAACTCCTATATTCTGTGATTCAAATTAGCTCTTATTTAAGACTTGGAAGGGGCTGGGGAGGTAGTTCAGTTGATAGAGTGCTGGCCCAGCATTCATAAAACCCTGGGTTCCAACCCCAGCACCACATAAACCAGGCATGATAGCACATGTCTGTAATCCCAGCAGTTAAGAGGCAGAGGCAAATCATAAATTCAAAGTCATCCTTGGTTACATAGTAAGTTCAAAGCCAGCCTGGGCTACAAGACACCCTGTCTCAAAACAAACAACAAAAATACTTGGAGTAAGCACATACCTTATCCTTCAGACTTGATCTCAGATGTCTGCGGCTGCTTTCATCAGACTGCATGGTACAATTTCCAAAGAGTTCCCACAAGGCCCTGCAGAGAGGCCTTAGTGACCATCACTCTTTCGGAAGTCTTGGCAGGTTTGCTCAGAATGTTCTGGGTCCTTCCTGTATACTCAGCAGCAGTACTCAGCAGTAATGTTGGTTTAATTACTTTTCTCATTGTGGTGACAAAATACCTGACCAAAGTAACTTAAGGAAGGAAGGGTTGGTTTATTCTGAGTCAAGTGCTGAGGGTGCAGTCCATCACAGCGGGAAAGGTACAGGGACAGGAGCCTGAGGCAGCTGGTCACATTGTATTCAGTCAGGAAACAGAGAGAGGTGCTGGAGCTCAGCTGGCTTCTCCTTTTGGTTCAGTCTGAGACTCCAGTCAACAGGATGGTGCCACCTACATTCAGGGTGAGTCGCCCTCCTCATTTAAACCTCTCTGGAAACATCTTCACTGACATACCCCGGGGTGTATCTCCTAGGTGATTCTAAATGCAGTCAAGTTGAGCAGCAGAGCAGAAGAGTTGCATAGACTTCCCCACGCCCTGTAGGCCTCCTGTATAACAGAGAGTAGACAAAATCCAGATTACATTGACAGGTGGGGCTTGCATGGCCAGGGTGGGGCTTGCATAGGCAGGGTCAGGCCTGTGTTGTGGCTCCTTGGAATCAGAGCTCACAGTTTCGCACTGGAACCTCCTCTTTGCACCCACTGCTCAAACTGGTTATCAAACCTCCTCTCTCCAAAAACAGCACTCCCCTTCACTCACATCCACACACAGAGCTGGGCATCCTCTTC